CTAACTGGATTTCTAGACTCTAAGTATCTCTGCACCAGCCTACAAAAGGCCACGACTGAACTCAGAGCGAACACAGAAGCACCCTGTTGCTTGGGTCAAAAACCATCTTGCTCCCCTGCAGACTACGCTGAGGCTGGCAATGCCTAACGAAAATCTGCGGGTAAGTTGTCCGTGAAATCGTTTGGTACCGGCCAATTACGCACACAACTGCGTGCTCGAAGTTGCAGTTACGCGTTCCGGAGCTTGGCATTTCATGTATCAGCTGCATACATCTCTACAGCAGAGGCTTGAGCCAAAGAGTCACTGTCAACCCGAACTGTCTACTCATACTCTGTGTTGCCCTAAAGATTCTCAAGCTTCAGATACCGCTGGGATATCTGTGACCATGAGCTCCGCTGACAAATCCCATGAGAGTCATAAGAGGAAGGTCCCGGTCGTAAGCTCGCTGCGTGTCCCTGCATCAGCCGCCTTCTTGCCGTCTTCTGTGCCTAGAGCAGGTCAAAGAGCGAGTCTTTCTATCTCACATCTCGAGTATAAAAGCTTATTCCAAAAGGGCCGGAACACCCGTCGCAAAAAACAGAGCTACAGGAAAACCGTTGCCGGAAGCTCCCGGTGGCTCATACCACCGATGCTGTGCGGTGACGGCAAAACACGTGTCTGACATCTGAAACCATGCCCTTGTCCACCTGTCCACCATCGCTCCTTGGAAGTCTCTCTGCCTCCCGCCTCCAGCCAGTGACGCCACGCTTGGAGGACGCTTTTTCGGGACTCGGCCATCGAGCCAGCCAAACGTCGCAGCAGAGCTTGCCTTGTGCCCCAAGGGCCCCCAGAATCTCATTATGGCGAACAAGGCCCTTGAGGTAGCATTCCTAGAGTCTTCTTCTACAGTAAGTAGTTGCAACCCTGCCATGCCCGCAGATTCTGGCTGCTGCGTTGTTGATGTATCCGGGTTTCTGCAGCCGAGAATACTTGGAGGTTCGCAGGTGGTTCAGAAACCATCAGCCACTCTGGAGGATCGAAGTTTAAAGCATTTTGCATTCGTAGAAGGAGGAAGTGCCGTGAGAGGAAATCGTGAACAGGTAACATGCATACAAGGCACATTCAACTGTTGTTGAAAATGAAAGGTGTTTGCTCTCGCAGGGACACCCTCGACCATGAGATCTAGCTTGGAGGTCTTGAAGGTTTGTGAAGTCCACAGACAACTATACCATTATCCAGAAGTAGCAGGTGCTTTCGGCAGTTTCCACAGGCGCTCTTCAGATGTCACGTCACGACAGCAGGGCTTCTCCGAGGCTGAACGCGGCTGATACTTCGAGGGAGCGGCTGCTGTTGCTGGGTGGCTTTGGCCGCGCGGCCCTTTCCCACCTGCATCGAAGCTCCGCCACCCCCTCTCTCTTGCTGTAGGCCCACGACAAGGGTTGTGGAATCTATGGCTCACCGAAACGTACCATGCTGGGCTTGCAGTGCCGGTGCGGAAGCCTCTACATTTTGGGGCATGAAGTAGCAGCTTCAAGTTGAGCTGGGGTATGCTCGACTCAGCTGGGCCGATGCTGGTCTGCAGTGACCAGCGCCGAGAAGACGCGATTGTCTTGGAGGCGATGGGTTTGGGCCTCTGGGCCTCTGGCGGCGGTGGTCATAAGTGTTAAGGATTTGCAGGAGTAAACGATGCCTGCACTTCTCTCTTCTTCGGTGTTCATTCCTTTAGCATGTTGTGGAACGGGATTGCAAGTGCGGACTGGTAGAGCTCCGTCAAAGTTTCAAAACATGCCTGTCTGCTAGATGCACTCACGCTACCTCAACTTACCGTTGCACAGCATTGCGCAACAGAAGCTTCGTTGTTGCGTTCGAAACTTGAGGTTGTTTCCGACATTTTCCGACGAGCCCATGCATCCGAAGTCAAGCACGTTAGAAGCATGGTAGGCACCGTAGTTCAAGCAAGACAATCGGCAGCTTTTAGTCGCTTTCAGCGGCCTCCCGCACCCAGCCGGCCAACACATCGGCCTTCCGGCGCTGAATCCAGAGTTTGGTTTCCATGGGGCTAAGGCCGTCGCTTCGAAAGCTTCTTCCAATCTGAAGCTACAATGTGTCTGCATTATATTATCTTGTGTTATAGGGTCGTTAGCAGTTGTTCAGGTAGCAGGCAGCTAAATTGGGGTTGTACATACCGTGAGACGCCTTGCACACACTCTGCTTGCCACGCGACGATGAAGCTCGAGGTAGATCTTGGGGCTTGACGCACTAGGCACTTGGTTTCTGCTCGAATCACAAACCAACACCCCCAAAGCCAAGACTGCAAGACAAGAAGTGAACTCTCATGTCCACGGAAAGCCCAGCACACATGTTGTATGCGACCGTGTCCATGCACTTCGAGGGAATATCAGATGCCTGGAGGCTTGCATCCCCACGCGTCGCAATCCTCAAGGCCACAGCCTCAGTCACAGCTACTTTTGCACGGTGGGCTTGTCTCTGGCCCCAGAAGATATCTGCAGTAAGCCGCTGTGAACTTCATTGATTCATGTTTGTCATTGCTCGTGTCTTTGGAAAAGCTCAGGACTTCGGAATGCTGTTGACGGCTCTCGCATGCAATCTGAAACTGATGCGCATATCTACAACAACTGCAGAATGACATAAAACCCCGAGCTGAAGCTTTGAGACTGAAGGCTCAGTTTAGGCCTAGGTGGCATTGTTCTTCGAGTTCGAGAACGGAGGGGCGACGGAGCAAGCTGCTCAGCTGTTCAACGTGCTTTACTTAAGCTAAGCCCTAAAGCCCAAACTCGCGAGTTCGAACCGATTCCTCTCCAAAATTATCTGTTTCCACGTTGACAACGGCAGTTGCCACAAACACCGTACAAAGACAAAGACACGTCTCATTTTTGCCCTAAGATCACTCTCAGATGTGTGCCTTCTGCCTGGGATCCCGACAGAGCGTTGGGCTTTGCCTCAGTCGCAAAGCAGTGAGTGAAAGCGCGATGCTAGGCTTATGTTGGCGCATGCTTGCCGTTCTGAAAGTTGACAGCATATCGGACGGGGTGACTTCAGGCAAAAATATCATGTCTGTTCGGACTTCGCGGCTGAAACTCGCAAAACTGAAGGTCTGATGGATTGCGCTTTCAAGCTATGATATTAAACTCGACTCTAGTTCAGGGCGTCAGGAAAGCGAGCGCTGACTTCCAAGCTCAACGAGTCGAGACTGGTACTCCTGTGCGGCCCCTGTGGCCCGTATGCAGGCAGGAAGTCTTCGCCCTAAGCGCTTCCACAGACCCAAAGCCGCTTGGTCAAACCCATTCTCCCCTTTTGCGGCGCTGTTTTGTTTGAAACCTGCACGGCTCTTTGCCAAACGCAAGGTCTTTGCCAGCCGGCACTGCCTGCGGCTGCTTCATTACCCTTCCGGCAGTGTTTTTGCAGGGTTGTGCTGCTCATGCTGCCTATTGCTTCACGCCCAGGCTCCCCGCGAAGCGAAGATGCCACGGATTCATTTGGCCGGTGCAGAAGATCACCCTGCTTGCGTGAAACTGGATCGGTATTTTGTACTTTTCATGTCAGCTCCGATTGGCCTTGGCCTAGGCCTTTCAGCAGCCATCTGCTGGCTGCCTTGAACCCAACCAAGCGGTTGGGCTCGGCGTGCACTGGCATATCTGCCATGTGCAGATTATTGCAGCCATCCCAGCTTCCACGCCGGACCGGACAGCCTGACTGTTATTAAGTCCTGGAACTTTGGGCTTACGGCTCAGGCATGGATAAGCTTCGAGCGCTGCAAGAGCCGCTAGCTTGCCGAATGGCCAGTAAGCAGGGCGTGCGCATTGAAGCCTGTCAAACCGCCACACCCTAAAATCCAGAAGCCCTGAATTAGTCCGAAATTGGTTATACCCATGCCCACGTCAAATCAACCCATCCAGCGAGAGTTCTCAATTTCCAAAGGTAGCTTGAAGCTTCGTCGGCCACCCCCACTCCTCCCCTCCCTTCCCTCCCCCCCCTGCAAAAAATATCTGACTACCGACTCTAAACCTGGAGCGAAATTCCAATGGATTGTGAAGAGCCCCTGAGCTTTCTCCTTGAAGCCTTGCGGCTCCAAGCCATGCCAAACCCAGAGCCCGAACACCCTAGGTCTGAAACCCTAAGGCTTGCGAAAACGAAACACAGAAAACCCTTGGACAACACTGTCATCCTGATAACAGCCTATAAACTCTGACCATCCCGTCTCAAGACGTAAGTAACTAAATAATGCTAATAATAATGGCACGGACCATGGTGCAATTGCATCTTGGCCGGGGGGGCCCGGGGTGGTATGTCCCCACCCCGTTTCAATTTGGGAGCAAGCGGTACCCTCTCGGGTGTGGAGGGGGGCGGTGGCGGTCATCCCGCCGCAGGCTGAGGCAGTGCAGACCACGATGCAAAAGAACTATCGATAAAGCTCGGTTTCGTGCAACCTTTGAATCAAGAGCGAAACTCGATTCCATCGTGACTCAGCTAGTGGCGCGTCCGCTCCTCCACCTGCAGTCGCCAAGCCTGGAGAAGACAGAGACGCCTAAAGCAGGCTGTTGGGTTATACGGCTCAGTTGCACGGAACTGGAGGTGTGGGATGTGCTTCAATGCGCCGTGTCCTTCGATAACCAAAGCTTAGTTAAAGCTTTTGCATTTGGCAGGAGCATCGGACCTTATGCGCCAGGTTGTTTGGCTTGGAAGGTAAGCTACCAAATCCAAGAACATAGAAGCCGAACAGACACCCGACGCTCCGGGCAACCAATCTTGGCGTCTCGGACCCCAAAGCCAAGGCTCAGAGCCACCAGTCGTTGGCCTTCGTGTCATAGCTACTCCCTCCAAACCTTCCCCCCCGCTCAAAAATCAGGTCGATGCTCAGCCAAAACAAAAGATTAAAGCATCTTAGCAAGAATAGGAGTGCCCCGCAACTTCTCTGTGCGTCCACTCCAGGCTGCCTCGAACGCGTACAAGCTGAAACCTGCTAAGCCTGCTAAGACTGCAAGCCACAACACGCGTGGGGCCTTCAAGAAGTTGGATTTTATCGACGTCGAAGTGGACATGAAGCGAGAGACGAGCTCCTCGCGACGACCTTTTCTCCACAAAACGCACAGGACTTTCATCTATTGGCCTTCAGCAGGCACGTTGCTGGTGTTTGACAGTTGCGACACCCCATGCGTTGAAGCTGCAGCCATATTGTGGACTGCGACCATGGCATTTCTTGTCTGTCAAAGAGCTGTTGCCTGCTTCAGCCACAGCAGCTTAGACTAGTGTCATGTAGACAGCGAATGGTGACTCAACAGTCAGCATCTGTACATCTAGATCCAGATATAGATATAGACTAGATATATACACATGTGTAAGTAAATGTGAACGTATTTTATTTTCAAAGAGTGCTTCTACTAAAACTACTATATGTGAGGTCATATACGCGCGTGTGTGTGTGTGTGTGTGTGTGTGTGTGTGTGTGTGTGTGTGTGTGTGTGTGTGTGTGTGTGTGTGTGTGTGTGTGTGTGTGTGTGTGTGTGTGTGTGTGTGTGTGTGGTGTGTGTGTGTGTGGTGTGTGTGTGTGTGTGTGTGTGTGTGTGTGTGTGTGTGTGTGTGTGTGTGTGTGTGTGTGTGTGTGTGTGTGTGTGTGTGTGTGTGTGTGTGTGTGTGTGTGTGTGTGTGTGTGTGTGTGTGTGTGTGTGTGTGGTGTGTGTGTGTGTGTGTGTGTGTGTGTGTGTGTGTGTGTGTGTGTGTGTGTGTGTGTGTGTGTGTGTGTGTGTGTGTGTGTGTGTGTGTGTGTGTGTGTGTGTGTGTGTGTGTGTGTGTGTGTGTGTGTGTGGTGTGTGTGGTGTGTGTGTGTGTGTGTGTGTGTGTGTGTGTGTGTGTGTGTGTGTGTGTGTGTGTGTGTGTGTGTGTGTGGTGTGTGTGTGTGTGTGTGTGTGTGTGTGTGTGTGTGTGTGTGTGTGTGTGTGTGTGTGTGTGTGTGTGTGTGTGTGTGTGTGTGTGTGTGTGTGTGTGTGTGTGTGTGTGTGTGTGTGTGTGTGTGTGTGTGTGTGTGTGTGTGTGTGTGTGTGTGTGTGTGTGTGTGTGTGTGTGTGTGTGTGTGTGTGTGTGTGTGTGTGTGTGTGTGTGTGTGTGTGTGTGTGTGTGTGTGTGTGTGTGTGTGTGTGTGTGTGTGAACACCTGTCTGCCAAGGTTTGCTGATATGCATTATTTTTGCAGGGGGACGTGGCATGAGATCAGGGACCACGTCCAATGAAGCTACCTGATCTCATGGGAAGCAGAGCTTGGCCAGCTCTGTGTACCTGCAGTAAAGTGCTAGCGAATGCATTGGAATGGCACTGGGGCCAAGCCATAAACCCCATATGAGTGCAGTTTCGTTTAAGGCCAGAGGTAAAGCCTAAATCCTCTTAAAGTCCTACACCTCTGAATGATTCGACTGAAATTCTTGAGAGTTACATCAGTCCAGAGGGAGGATTGCACGAGTGTGCTCTAGACGGCTTTCGTCGATCGTGTCGTCTACGGTAGGGTAGCCTACTGCCTGGCCCTGATCGGCCCAGTCAAAATCACAGGACCCTGATCGGTCCAAGCCCTGATCGGCTTAAACCCAAAGCAAGACCTCTTGGTCTCTAAAACTCGAAAATGCTCTACGGAGCAATCATCTGCAGTTCAGGGCTTGATTGCCTAGTTACAGACAGGACTGATGCCCTTTCGTTTCACAACAGCCGTCAGTCAAGCAACTGTTCTCCCCTGGACAACTGATTTTGCCATGGCCTCCTGGTCATCATGGTCTAACAGTGACTCCAGCAACAGCTGGGACAACAGACAGCAATGGAATCGATGGAGCAAAGAAGACAAATGGGACTCCAAATACTCTGAGAAATCGTGGGAACATGTAGCCAGCCCCACATATCAGACTTTTTCTTTGCCGTCTTCTTTTGTTTCTGACGAGCAGCACTACAACAAGACCCCTTTGGCCAAAGGTGCCCATGTGCTGCACAAGTTGGTTCAACCGACAGAGTGGTCTCGCAAAGCTGGGTTAGCTGGCCGTGATGTCAGTGACATCCGTGCCTTTGAGCTTGCTCATCGAGGCCTTGGAGATTTCTCATTTCGTTTGCTGTCGGAAGGACGGCATCAGAGTATCGTCTGGGCTCGAAGTGGCCAAGAATCGGTACTCATTACGGCATTGTTGAAGAAGCTTCGTGAGAGTGGTGTTTCTATCGATGAGGCAGCAAAAGCTTGCCACAGCACAGCTCCTCCAGACAAGCATAAGGAGGCAATGCGATTCATGGAACCGCTTGCTCAAGAACTTCTGAATTGTGTTCTGGCCAAAGCGCCTCCACCAAATTCGGATGCCTCTGAAGAGCTCGCCAAAGCCAAAGCCAAACTGGCTGAGCATGGCATTGCAATGTCCCCTTTGAAAAGGAAGGCAACTGAAGATCCTGAGCCAGACTCAGGAAGACGGGCGAAGCCCGCCATGCCTATTGCTGAGCCGGAATCCCAGATTGAAGCGGAACAGCTCCTTAAAGATCCACAACGAAAGCTGGATACTCGTCCCAAAGGAGCCACAGATGACCATGTCACTGAATGGCTGGCTACCTACAAGAACAAGCCAGAGTTTAAAGGCAAGTACCAGTTGCTGGTTAAGCATGTACAGACTGTTCAGAGGCTTCTCAAAACTGAAGCATCTAAAGATCAACTGGTTGCAGCTGCTAAAGAGTTTGGACTGGATCCAAAGCTGGCATCCAGGCTGTCCATCAAAAATTTGTCTACTGTGATTGCTGTTGCACAATGTCAAACTGCTTGACTAGCAGTTCAATGCCAACATCTTGCTGCTTCAAGCAAACAAGGAATCAAGCAGCAAATTTGTATGTTGGGAGAGGCGGTGACGTTCTTTTTGCACCATTGTCCGGGCTTCAACAAAGAGTCTGCACTGTGGGCCCAAGGCCTGCTTCATCTTCTGTTACTATTTTACTTTCAAGAAGGTTCTCCGTCGTCGTATGCTGAGACTATCAGACAGAAGCTTCAGCAGTTCCGGGTGCACCCTGCCACCTACTCGTGGCCGAGATTTCAATCTCAGAATGCGGTGTACATGAAAACAGCAGTGGACTGGCGCCATTTTTCAAGTATTGAGCACTACAGGCAGCCTTCCACATTCATGTACATAGGCTCCACGAGCCAATCAGTTTTTCGAAGAGAATCTAACAGATTCTCAGTTGCCAGGAAGCTGGCAAGCGGAGGTGAAGCTCAGGCCGAGCTAGCCATCCGATTTTGGGTGTCCAATCAGTGTCTTGAGCAGTATACTTTGTTTCTCGTTTCTCCATGCTCAACTTACAAGGAAGCATGGGTGACTGAGCACTGCTTAATTGGGATGTGGCAGCCCAAACTGAATCACCCGTACATTACTTCCTTTTTGAAAAGAAGTGCATTCGGCTTTAGACCCAACAAGAGAGTCCGGCATAGCGTGTCGTCTAGGTTCGGGTTAAGGCTGTGGAGAAAACTGAGAAAGAAACTCCACAGACAACTTCAGCCCGTTCCTTTCCAGCTCAAGAGAAGGTCGGCATGGGAGATATTATTCAATCTTACATGCTTCAGCCGTGCCCCCTTTGAAGAGGCAAAAAAGCTGCGAAGCGACCGATACCTTCCTGATGAGATTTATTCCCTGATTCGGTTGAGCAACTGCCTGGAAGAGCCTGGCAAAAGTAAGGCCAGGAAGGCGCTCAAATGTGTGTGTCAGTTTCGCAACATGTCTTGGCCTTCGGCTACCCTGGGCTTGCAGCTGAAATTCACTGCATCCCCAAGCTTCGGGTCAGATGTCTCCAGATGGATCCGAAAGCTTGTATTGGCACACAAGCCGATTCTTATACCTTTTCATTTACCAGTGTGCAAAGTCAGAGAGCAACCTCATCAGTCTCTCAAGGACTTTATGCACAATTTCAAAGACTGGGACCAATGGCTACAGAATCATTGTGTTGCTGATGCACCGTGTCCTTGTCGTTACTATACCAAACTGCTGCCAGAACAGTGCCTCACTCGAGGCCATGTTGTAGCCGGTATAGAACAACTAGGCAGCCTTCACCGCTCCTTTGAGAAACTAGGGAGTGGCAGTGCATCTTCAGCGTTTTTTCCTTCTAAAGGAGAATTTTTCAATCACAACACCCGGTTGTTTGCGTCTTGGCGGCGCAAGCATTGTCTTCTTCCCAAGGGTGTGGATCAAGCCTTTCAGCAATTTCTCGAGCAACAATGGAGCAAACACCTCGATCACCTGAGTCAAGAGAACCGGCTCACTTGGAGAGATGTCTCTGCTGCTCGCGACTTACTGCATCGACAGTTCATTGTGCATTGCGAAGACCATGAGCCGAATCATCTTATGGTCTTCTGTCCCAGATTCTATCTTCAGGCTGCCATGAAGACCTGGCAGGATCCAGATGTTTTCGAGCTGTGGAAGGCTCCCAAGAACTCTGGAACCAGCGAGTTTTCCAACAGATTCCCGGCATACTGAAAAGAAGATATCGCTGGGGAATCAATGCTTCTGGCACCTTACCAACGGGGTTTGTCTTTCTCAAACGAAAGAAAGAATTTTTGGAAGGGAGGACGATAATATCGTACTCCAACAGCTGTATCAAGAAGTTGTTGATTGCAGCGGCGCAAGCGATTCTTTTGATGGTTCGCTTGGTCTGGCCTGAAGCCATGGGCCTAGCCACTACTCCCCGACTTTGGAAGAAGCTGCATCAGTTTCTTCGCCGCACCCCTCCTACGGTGCACCTCGCTGAAATTAATGATGACCTAGTGGGATTTTTCAACTCTGTGCCCAGACAGCAAATCCTGGAGTCTTTGTCAATGCTTGTACAGCTGTATCAAGACCAGGAGTACCCTCCACACATTACGGTATCCCTGAAAAAGCAACCCAATTGTGAGTCTGCTTGGCCAGGTAAACCCATGGCAAAGGGAGCCAAACACATAAGATTTCTTCATGTTTCTGACCTGACTGCTATTGTACAGACCTCTTTTCAAGCAGGAGTGTTCACCACTCTTGGCCTGTTGTTCAGGCAACACCGGGGCACATGTATAGGCAATCAAATCAGCCCGGTCCTCAGCAGTCTT